GAGATGTTTGAATGTTTGTCTGTGGGCATGAGGCCACTTCTTTTCTTCAATATACATATGGATTTTACTCAAGAACATACGGGAGAAACAGTGGGCGAAATCCGCCCCCCCCCACACACACACACACACACAGTACACAGTGAAACAGATAGAAAGATAGAAACAGTGACACCGGAGATGCTTGAGTCTTAAAAAACTTAAACAAAACAAAAATCTGACACCAGTCATGGTATCCCAGAAAGTGGATTAGCAGTGGATCCTCGAGAAGAAGAAAAACAAGAGTGCTAGCCTAATTCACCTCCTTAGCTGTGTTCTCCAATGATTCATAGAACACCTCTGGGCTTCAGTTCTCAGCTGTAAAATGAATACTGAGTCAAACTATCTCGGATGTCGTTTCCAGCTCTGCGAATCTGTTTAGCTGAGGTTTTTCACCACACTGTTCCTCATGTTGATACAAAGATAGCAAATGTGAACTGGAGCAGCAGGGGTTCCCAGGAAGCCTCCAGAGTCTAGTGATCTGGGTTCAAGTCCCATTTCTGATATATATGCTGTGAGACTTTGAGCAAGTTGTTTAGCTTCTGTGTCTCAGTTTTCCCACCTGTGAGACGGGGATAATTAGGAGGATGAATTCGATGGTTATAGTAACTGTCACCTAAGTTGTGTGAGATTTGATTTAGCTGCTCTGTCCTGCATACTTCAACAATGCCTGGCACAGGGTAGTGTTTGGCTCATTAAATATGTAGCTTCATTATTACTGTGTTACTGCTTGAATTCTCAGAAAGCTATGATAAGAACTCTGAGGTAGTGATAAATATGAACTACAGTAATATTACTAATTTCCGTTCTAAGCACAAATCACAAACTCCATTCTTAGAATCAGCTTTGAATATAGAGTATGTATTCTGAGAAATACCCGATATGGTGATATAATTGTTGTCATAGTCGTTTAAAGTGGAATAGTTAGTATTTTTTACTCAACTCAACTGCTATCAAGTAGATTCTAACTCATAGTGGCTCTAAAAGGGTAGAACTTCCCTTGTAGGTTTCTGAGACAGTAATTCTCGACAGGATTGTAGAAAACCTTATCTTTCTCCCTCAGAGTGGCTGGTAATTTTGAATAGCTGACCTAGCCATTAGCAGCCCAGTATTTTTTACAAGAGGTACAAAACCCCCGACAATAGCTTTACTTCAACTGAAGGAAGCGTCATTTGATGTGGCCACCAAAGCTTATATTGCATATTATTAGGATTCAGTAAAATGAGATTTGATTTTGTATCTTGAACTACAGTAATATTACTAATTTCCATTCTATGCACAAATCAAAAACTCCGCTCTTAGAATCAGCTTTGAATATAGAGTACTGTGTATTTAAGTAGAATATAGCAGAATTCTAAATGTTGCCCTTTAAGGGTATTCGTTTTTTTGTATTAGAATTTTTGTAAGTAATAACAAAAACAGCTTTCTGTAGCAAAGGTACAGAAGTTTTCTTGATCTTGGTTGCTTCCTTTTTTAGAAAATTATTTTATGGTAACAGATTGATATGTTTTCCTTCCACTACCTCACCCTAACATGCCAAAAGTAGGGGGGAAAGGGATCATTTGAAAGATTGTCCCTCTTACTCTACATCCACAAATAAGTGTTCTGAAAAACCACTAATGCCAGAGGGTAGGGAATCTTAACTCTTTTGAGATATTTAAGGTAATGCATTAGTTAAAGTAATACCTTCCACTACAGTATGAGTTTAATGTGGGTACATTTCTTTCAAATAGCAGTGCATTGTTGCCCATGTTTTAGATTTAGTATTTATAAACTTCATAAGTTTTTATTTTTCATTGCATATACTGGTTTTATAAGGAAGTACAGTATCTAATGGAAAGCTATCAGAAACATTCATTTTGTAAATTAGGTTCAGCTCTTTGAGTTTTAAGAATTAACTGACTATACGTGTGTGTGAAAGATTCTGTACATAATCAGCAATTTTGCTTTACATCTTTGCTCATATCTGATCACTAACACCAAAAATTTACTTAATGACTAATCTCAACTTAGTAATAGCTCAAGTGTAAATTTCTTACATTTTATATCTAAGTATAAAAGAATTATGTAAGCATGATCACCTAAGTAAAATATTTCATTTGTTTTGGTTTTTAAATATACATATACTGTGCATATTTTCTTGTCAGTAATATCTGATTTATCTTCAAATCTTGCTTTCACTCTTTTAGCATTTAGAAAGAAAGCCTTCAATCCCACGTAAAGACAAACCCACACCCAGATACTGGACAGACAAGCATATTGACTGTAATTTGCCCTGCCCTACAGTTTACAGAGCATAGACTTTGTTTGGGGTGTTTATTCTCCTTCTGCCACCTCATCTCTGTATAATCAAAAGGCAACAAGAATTCAGAGTTCGAGAGCAGAAGCTGGGACTAGAGGGAATAGAAAGGCCCAAAGAGCATTCAGCAGAATGAAGGAAGGCGCTTGGGTAATAACCAGAGAGAGAAAGGTCAGAGTGAAATGGAGCGGCATACTTAGGCATACTCAGCCCTGCAGCTTAGGAGATGAGCAGGAGTGCTCTTCTTGATACCATAGTTCTTTGGATTTGCTGGCACATGAAAGTTCGTGCTGAGAAGACTCATGCTACTGGCTGTTGGACCTGATTTCGTGAGAAGTAACATAAAACAAAACAAACTCGTTGTCATCAAGTCAATTGACCCTATAGGACAAGGTAGTACTGGCCCTTTGCGTTTCTGAGACAGTAACTCTATGGGATTAGAAAGCCTCATCTCTCTCCCTCTCAGAGAGACTGGTGATTTCAAACTACTCACCTTGAAGTTAGCAGCCCAGTACACCTCCGGGGCGCCTTTAAAAAGTAGCATGTAGATAAATCAAATAGAATTCCGGGCAGACTTGTGTGTGAGTTCACTAACTGCTGCCAAAAAAAGTGGGGTTTGTTTTATATTATAGGTTTATCCCTTAAGCAATGCATTTTCCCATTTTCTTGATATGTATAGCTTTTATTTCCCTATTATATGTTTATGTGCGTATTTAAAAAATTTAGACAACTAAAGCTTATGATAGCTGGCTGTACCACAGAATATGGCAACATATCCAGGTAACTTGTCCTTAAGTGGTTTTTATTTTAAATTTATAGACTTCTAACATTCCCTAGATGGAAAAAAAAAAAGCATTCCCTAGATGGAAATGTCTGTATCTAAACAATAATGAAATGTGGATCTTGGAGAGAGTCTAATGGAAGGAGTAAATTAAGCATCTGTTTTAAATGATCTTGCCATTTGAAGTCACTTAATGAGTGATGACAATGACAAGTAACAGCTCAATTAGAAAATAAGTAGGGAATGAGTATATAGACGACAATATGGCTTTTCAAAGATCTGGCCATCAGATGTGTAGAACAGACTTTTTTGAAAACCCTGAGTCACATAATTTAGAGGTTGGGCATAAGTTGATAGAGTAGCATATCCAATGTTTGTAGATATGTAAATTCTGCAGGCGCAGTGGTTACAAGCTGCTAACTGCAAGATCAGCAGTTCAAAACCCCCAGCCACTACTGGGAGAAACACAGGACTCTTCTCTTCCAGACAAGAGTTAGTCTTGGAAACCCACAGAGGCAGTTCTACCCTCCCCTGTAGGCTTGCTGTGGGTCAACATCGACTGGATAGAAGTGAGTTTATAGTGCTTGTTTTTGTATTCTTGTTGTTGACTACAGAACAAGCCCGAAACTCCTCCCCTAAATTTAGAGATTTCTAATTGGCTTACTGACTAATTTTTGGTGAGTGGAACAAGCATTTATTGCATTGCATTATTTCTCCTTCGACACTGTTTCTATTTGACTGTTAGGTTTCAGGCTTCCTGACTTGGTACCTGTCTTCATTACCCAGTGTTGCTGCCACAGAACTTTCATAGTGGGTGACTTCAAACAAACACTGCAGGAGGCTAGAAGTCTGAATTCCGAGCCTAGTCTTAAGGGGAAGGCTTTCTCTCAGTGTTGGCTCTGGACCAAGGCCCTTTGCTGTCCTGAGCTTCTGTTCTTGGGCGATCTGCATGTGGTTTAGTAACTCTCCCTGCATCTATATTTGCTAGTAACAAAGAAAACCCATTCTCTCATAGTAGGATTATAACGACAGGCAGAGGTTAGGATTTGCAACACATATGTTGGAAGAACACGCAGATCAGTCCATAACCAAAACAAACAAGCAAACTCACTGCCATGTTGTCACTTCTTACTCGTGGCCACCCTGTAAGACAGGGTGACACTGTCCCTGTGGGTTTCCGAGACTGTCACTGTTTATGGGAGAAGAATGCCTGGTCTTTGTCCTGAAGACGGCTGGTGGTCACCAGGACTCCTTTCAATCCATAACAGTACTTTAAGATTCAGAACCAAAAAATAGATACATATTTTATCAAATAAATTTGGAAGCCTGTAATTTTTTTAAAAGCTGAGTCTAACACACAGGGGGAAAAAATAGGATAAATGAGTGAAAATGGGGGAAAGAGACGCTGAGGATAACTTTATAGACAAAGTCAAAATGGTGACAGATTCATATGTGGATTTATGGATTGTCAGAAGGTGTAGGGATGAGAATTTTTCTTAGCACCAGTTTGGCGATGGGAAAATGGTAATTGTGCTACTTTTCTGAATGCATTATGGCTAAGTCATGATTCAAACAGATAAACTTTTGTCGATTCAGGGAGAGAAAGACAGTATCTTCTAATGATATTCAGAAGTTAGACCTTGACATGACAGTAGATGTCTAAAGTTAAACAGATTTCCAAGCTCTCGCCTGCTCTATTACTGCGGTGGAATCCCTGCTGTGCTCCCTGTAGCACTCAGCTTCAGCAGGAAGAACTGGTATCTGGTCGGTATTGGCCTACAGCTGCCAGGATTCATTAGGGATAATGACAGTCGACACATATGGGATTTACCAACGTGTTTACAGTATGGTCGTATGGACAATAAATTTCTTGTTATTTTGCAGGATTGGCTACTCTCCCACTATGCTGACAGCATTTTAAGTATATTTGTCAATTTTCCAAATTTTAACTGAAGAAAACCTTAAGAGTTTATTATTGAGGACTAGAGTGTGAATCTACCAAATATCAGGTCAGTATCATACCCCCACCCCATGTCATTGCCACCCCCAAACAGCATAACTCTTTCATTTCCCTTTCCCACAAAAAAGTATTCTAATGTCCTGTCTATTGAGATTAGATTCTAAATGTATAAAGCAAGAAAGAACCATGAAGATTCATTATTTCTAAAGAAATGTCTTCTTTCTGGATTGGGTACAAACAGATCTGGTGGTTCTCAAGTTACACAGCTTTATTTTTCCTGTGCCCTGTGTGAATTGTCATCACTTCGTGTGGACACCAAGCTAATGAGTTGGTACATATTGGCAAAATGCCCCAGATATTAACATGTATGTGCAGAAGTGATTTGCAGATGCAGAAATAACAAGGAAGAATGTTGTTCATTATGTCATTGACAAGGAGTAGATTTTTTTAAAAATCGTTTTATTGGGGTCTCATATACCTCTTATCACAATACATACATACATACATTGTGTCAAGCACAATTGTACATTTGTTGCCATTATCATTTTCAAAACTTTTTTCTTTTTCTTCTTTTTTTTTTCCTTAGAAAAAATCATTTTATTGGGGGCTCATACAGCTCTTTTCACAATACATACATACATCCATTGTGTCAAGAACATTTGTGCATTTGTTGCCGTCATCATTTTCAAAACATGTTCTTTTTACTTGAGTCCTTGGTATCAGCTCCTAATCTTCCCCCAACATTTTCTTTCTACTTGAGCCTTTGGTATCAGCTTCTCATTTTTTCCCCTCCCCCTCCCACCATCCCACCCTCACAAACCCTTGATAATTTATAAATCTACTGTGTGGTCAGAGATTTTGTACAGCTTGTCCCGGGACACAGTCTAACAACACAGTGGAGTATGCATTTTCTAGGTGTTCTCTCTCACTTAGAGGCAGTAGCTCTGGAAGGAATCAATGAGTCTTTTGTGTGCCCCTAAAATTCAGTATGCTCCTGAGAATTGGGAATTAACTGCAGAGTGTGTGAACTAGTGTTGGGATTCGCTGTACAGAAAACTATTCTGAGGGTCGGCAACTTGGAGGTAAAAAGTAAGAGAAGGAAAATAGTCCTTGCTCTGCTTATGTGTCTTACCATACCTGGTGGCCGGAAGACCCTCCAAGGATTGTAACGTCCAAATTCTTTCTGTCTGTTGTATGGTTTATGAGAAATTAACCTTGTGGAAAGGATTATGCGTATTTCATACAATTTCCCGTTTAATACGTTTCCAAAGGTGCAAAGTCTTATGTAAATGTGAGCTCATTAAGTCAAATTAATTCAGTTTTTAGAAACTTGGCCAATTAGGTATGATGTTTAAACAATATACTTTTAAGAAGTCATTTTAAAGTATATTTGGTTACCTTTAAACCTGTTTTGTCATGCACAATATAAATATTTGGATAGATGTTCTCAGTAAGAGAAATAAGAACATTTTCTCTCTTACTCTTGCCAACCCTTATCTTCACTCAGATCCCAGGTAAGCTGTTTTCCGCGATGCCTCAGTTATCTAATGCTGCTGAAACAGACCGACCACAGGACTGTGGCAAACACATTTCTTTTCTCTCAATGAAACTAAAACCAAACTCACTGCTACTGAGTCGGTGCTGACTCAGCAACCCTGTAGGACAGGGTAGAACTCCCCTGTGGGTTTCCTCTTTACAGGCATAGAAAACCCCATCTTTCTCTCACAGGGGGCGGGGGTGCAGGGGTGTTAATTTTGAACAGCTGACCTTGTGGATCTACACCACCACGAAGCTACAAGTCCAAATCCAGTGCTCTACATTCATAGAAACTTATCTAGGAACAAATGATCCCTGAAAGTATAGTCTTTCACCAGTCTAAATTCAGAGCACAACTTAAGGGGAAGGTTTTCCCTCTGTGGACTGGAGGAAGGTCCCTTTCTCTTCAGATTCTGCTTGCTGGCTCCTTGGAGATCTTGTCCTTGGCATCTACTTACCTCATCTCTCTCAGCCTGCTTGTTTAATCTCTTATCTCTCAGAAAAGTCTGACTAATGATACACTGTACACTGATTTTCCTCATTAACATAACCAGGTCTGCCCATTCCCAAATAGGATTATAACCGCAAGCACAGAGGTTAGAATTGATAGCCCATATTCAGGGCGCCATAATTCAAGCCCTAACAAGAGGGATACCACATGTTTGTTACACCGTTTTGGAATTTTGATTGTCTAAAACTGGGAGATTTTTTTCATGGCCTGACAATTTTTCAGTGTAAAAGTGTTCGTGGTAAGCACTTTGACCTAAATTTCTAGCCACAAGATGAGTGGCTAAATGTTATCCGGACTTTCTAGGAATTTTGCTTAGAAATCATGCAGGAAAAATGATGAAAAGTTGATCTTGTGAGTAGTTATGAAATTAGTAACTAATATGAACCTTAGTTGCTAATGCTGCTCATTTATGATTAGCACTAGACAGCTGTTATCTATCTATTTGTAACCATTCCCTTTCTTAAAGCACTTTATACTGTAACTGTTGCTCTTGTCTATCTCAAGCTCCCCTTTTTGTACAAATTATGTTGCATTATCTCTGCTGTCGTCTAGACCAAAGGTTGTCTGATGGTTGGCCTTGTCTCCGTCTTTCAGGATGAATCTGGAAAAACTCAGCAAGCCTGAACTCCTGACACTATTCAGTATTCTTGAAGGAGAGCTTGAAGCGAGGGACCTTGTTATAGAAGCATTAAAGGTATGTTAAAAGGGTGTGGGATGGGGAGGACGATAAATTAGCATGTTTTCTAAAGTTGCTTAAGTGATTGTGAAGTATTTAACGAGGCTGTTTCCATAGCTACATTGAAGTTAGTGGTCTGGGCGTACAGATTAATACTTGCTATCTAGTTAGCCACCTGTGTGGTGTGATTTTAGGAACACTGGCCAAAACCTTCCTATCCTCCATAGCCCCTTTGGTCTCATCTGATAACTGCACCTTGGACGTCATTTTTTTTTCCCCCCCGAATAGTGGACCTTTGCTCTTTGAATTGTGACCCTTTTGAGAACTTGGTGAGACCAAGTTCTCTTGGAACCAAGAGTTCCAAGCCCACTGCCATGAAGTCAGTTGTGACTCATGGCAGTCCTGTACTAGGTCAGAACTGCTCTATGGGGTTTCTGGGACAATAAATCTGTACAGGAGCAGGCAGCTCATCTTTTGTAGTGGGGCGAGTGGGTGTGAGCCAGCAACTTTGTGGTCCAGCGCTTAAACCACTGTACGTACCACCAGGGCTCCCTTTTTATGAGGTCTTCTCCCCAAAAAATGTATGTACACAAAATTCCAGATATAAACTAGGAGTTCAAGACCCCATGAAGATCCTCCACGGGTTCCATGGGCCCCCGATTGAGAATTTTGACTTTAGTTATGTATTTGATATCTATTAACTCCTTTCAAATGCCACGTGTTCTGTTTACCTTACCATGAAAGTAAAAAGTCTGTCTTCAGAGCATATTTTGAGAGGGGGAAACCCTAATGGTGTCTATGAGGAGAAGCAAGACATTAGCCCTGAAAGGAAAGGAAGAGAACCAGACGAAGTGAGACTTGAGCCTAAACTTGCCACCACCGAGTCGATCCTGACTCAGAGTGACCTATAGACAGAGTAGAACTGCCCCTGGGCCCCGTGGGGTCCCAAGACTAAATCTTTCTGGAGGGAGACGGCTTTATCTTCCTCCTGCGGAGAGGCTGGTGGTTTTGAACTGCTGACCTTGCGATTAGCAGCCTGACTCATCACACTCTATGCCATCAGCACTTCTCAGTGGAGTTCATATAAAACATTTGTCTTTTCTCTTCTTTAGTTTTTATTCCATTTTTTCCATTCTCATACTGATTTTGGTGTTTTTATTTCTTATTCATGGTTGGGTAATATTTTTATTGCTTATTCTAAATATATAATTGTGATAAAAATAAATTGATGTCTACATCGCTCTATAGGTGATTTGGTTTAGTGTTAATCTGTGTCTTTTAAGACTGACTAGTTCGAACAAGGACCTCTGTCTAATACGCCTCAGCATACTTACTCATTAGGAGCTGTTTCTCTGTCGCCTTCCCCGGTAGTTCTGGTGTGTGCAGTAAACCGTTTCCAGTGGCTTCATTTCTCCAGCGTGCATGAGGCCGTTCCCCTCTGGAATGGGAGACGAGGGCCTCTGACGTTCTTCCTCTCCTGTTCCCCTTCAGTCGTGTCTCACCTGGGGATCGCTGTTTGTTGCTTTGCCATATGCCTTTTCATTTGTGTCAGTTTATTGGCTGAGCCTTTGCCCCTCATTCATATGCCTAAGCATAGCCGGGTGACTGATCTTGGTCAAATCATTCATTCTTCCTGGAGCAAGGCTCCCTTGTCAATTAAATAATAAATGATTAATAATTAGTATTTTGTATAACACTTTACAACATACAGGGCATTGCAAATAACCCAATGGTTTCGTGTTCTTTTCTTCTTTGCCCTTTATTTATTTATACCCTGTAAGTAGACTCCATGTACCCCTATCTAAAAAACAGTCCCCAGTTGCCAAACATTTGAATGAATGTCTCCAGTGTGTCCTCTGAAATGCCTAACATTTTAATGACTAAACATTCGATCTATTTGGTGACTCATTTCTGCCATGTCCACAGGCCTTCCCCTTTGGTCACTACTGGTAATTTCTTTTCCTTCTCCTGTAAGTCCGTGAAAACCCTATTCTATTTCTCATAGCTCATCCCACTACAAGGGGACTTCAAAAAGCTTGTAAAAAAACGCCCATCTTTTCATTCTGTTTGCCCACAAAATCCTGAAGCGCCCTCATATTACAGTCCTGACCTGTTGAACCGAACCGGGACACCCTGGCCATTTCTTAGCAACAAAGAGAAGAGGAAAAGAAGGATTGGGAACATTTGAGCTCATTCCTAATGCCTCACCCCTAGTGCTGTTGTCATTCCCACCTCCCGCCCTCGGTTTTCATCTGGGCCCCCTCTCCAGATGCGTTATCAGCATGGCTTAGAACTGAAAGAGGTCCCCAGCGTTTGCCAATAGGAAGGGCTTTATTCCTGGTAACCCCTTCGAGAACTCAAAGTATTTTCCAGGAGCAGAATTATTATAAGTAGCAATTAGAGTTTATAAAAGTGTAATAGTTGGCAACCAACATGTGTTCATCAAAGATCTACCCCTGTTTGCTTTGGAAGTCCAAGAAACTGTTCCCTATAAATATCACCAGTTGGATTCTATAGAAATATACGGGCCTCTGCCTATTTCTAAATGTGGTGAGGATGGCTGCTTCTATTAGAAAAATCAGGATGACCTTTTCTATAGTTTTCCAAGTATATGTGTATCCTCATTTCTTTTGAGCCATCATAGAGCTTTACATTTTGATAATCATTGTATCCTCAGCACCTGGCATATACGAGGGGGCTTAAAAAAAATCTGTGGGAAAACTCCATTATCTTTTCATTCCAATTTCCCCATCAATTTTTTGAAGCCCTCTCATAGATGCTTGATAAATATTTATTGGGGGGGGGGGCGGGGAAAGTTAGTCCCATTGTGGGTACGGAGCTTTTGAAAGATGACCACAATACGTGCCCGTGCGAGTGGTGCGAATTATTAACGGTGAGCTTGTTCTTGTGCCCTGCAACAGAGTGACTTCTGGTTTTGTTAACAGCTGCTTAGGTGGTTTATTGCATGTTTTCCTAAAATACCTTTTTTCCCCTGCATGAATCCAATTTCGGTTACTATAGGCAGCTTCTGACAAGTTAAAAGAGCTGCTTGAGAAGCAAGAGCTATAATTAAGGCAGCATTTTGATCCAAGATACTGTTTAGAATCAGGCACAAGTGTTGTGTTTAGTCTGTGCCTGCCGGCTGTAGGTGATAAAGTTGTCCTCGGAGGCTTAAACTATAAGCAGTTGAGGTGAAATGAATAGCCGCCCCAGCAGTGACGCAGATTTAAGTAATGTATTGTTAGATAAAGTCAGTGGCAACTGGGGTCAGAAGGGTTTCAGTTCGTTTAGAAAAGCAACTGCCACACCAAGTTCCTTCCGCTGGAGTGAAATCTCCTTATTTGTGGTTTTTATTTGCGTGTTTTATTATTTTTGTTGTCTGTTTTAGTTCTGTAATGAAGGTTTTACTGCATCATATTTCTGGAACTTTTGCTTAAGAACAAACAGCTGGTGGGCAGTTTACTGATTGTCTTCCTGTTAGTGTTCTTTCGTATTCATGCGGAGGGGTGCTTTGAAAAGAGTTGGGCTTTTGTCCTAAATGACTGTGATTGGCTTTTTCCCTTTCTGTTTCAATAAAGTTAATCTTTTTCTTCCATCCCTTCAAAATGCTTAGTTTTCTAGATAGAAAATCTATTCTTCAACCTTGTATCTCTTTAACAAAACCATATGGTTTGTTGTGGTTTCTTAGTGAATGGTGGCAAGGATTTGATTTATGTGTGGATATAGTATAAAGTTACTATGGTGGGTGAGTAGATCCTACTTACAGGAGAAAAAAATGTAAAAAATGTCATGCATTGTCCAAAATTTCTGCAAAGTGCCCCATTTCACGTATCCCCTTCTAGAGCCCCTGAGATAAAAGTCTCTTCGCTTTCCCTTTACACCAAGATATGTTTGACATAGAACTAGGGTAGCCAACAGAAAATAATGTAATAGGCAGGCTCTCCTATATGTGCGTTCTAATTGCTACAGAGGCCATTTATACTGTATTTGTTCCCAATCATACTTTCTATGAAGGGATTTTCTGTTTTAGAAGGGATTGCATCGGAGAAAAACATTCTTTGTGAGAATGAGAAAAAGCATTACAATGGAAGGAAGCAAGTTGCATTCCTCAGACACTGGTGTGTGTGCGTGTGTGCACGTGTGTTCAGGCGGGGTGGGGGACTGAGGGGAGCTATGCAGTTCAGCAAGGGAGACTCAGCTCATTAATTCAAGCAGATCTAGGGACTAGCTGCCCAGCATGATCTGTGACTGCTTCAGAGTGAGATGGGGGACCCTTAATCAACAACCATTTTTAAAATTCAAAAAAGGAAAATACATTTGACTGCTAATCAGAGTTTGATTAGATAGTTTATTTTTGAGGCTTCCAGTTTGGGTGCATTGCATATGCATGTGTTAGATAGATGTGATGGTGCAAAGCCACACTCAGCTATGAGTAAATAGACTCGACCCTGCATTTATTAGTATCATGCTATTTTAAAGCCTTCTCTAAATTGCTTATCCAATGATAAATGGCAAAGCATTACAATGTATATGTAGAATTTGCTTAAGCAGTCCTGAATTCTTTTCTACTGATGTCTGAGTCATAAAGCAGGTACAACTCTTTTAAAGCCTAGGATAGATCTTCATTGTTTTTGGCCAAAAGCCATTGCAAAACTCCAAGCTAGAAGATTTACAGGCAAAAATGTTGTCATCAAGGTAGAATGTATTTGGAATATGAGACTGTATACCAGGGGTCCTCAAGCTTTTTAAACGGGGCCAGTTCACTGTCCCTCAGACTGTTGGAGGGCCGGACTATAGTTTAAAAAACAACTATGAACAATTTCCTATGCACACTGGACGAGTCAGCTGCTAAGCAGGACAGGCAGCGGCGGCAAAAACACCTGGCAGGCCGGATAGATGTCCTTGGCAGCCACATGTGGCCGAGAGGGGTAGTTTGAAGACCCCTGCTGTATACTATGTCACGCTGTTGGTTTAACTGTTTTGAATGTGTGGAGCAGTCAGTTGAGGTTTTTCTAAAT